AGAGCCCCGGCCAGCAGAACTGCCCACGTAAGGGTCTCTCTTATGCTACTTCCTTCGTGCCCCTAGCAGGGGGGAGGCAGATGATGGGAGCAGTGCGATTGTGTTAGCTGTTCTGTCTTACAGCCCTTGTCCTTGGGGCAGAGGGGCGGTCACCCCTCCACGGGCACTCGGCTCTTCAGGAAGGTCTCGTGACTTTCCCTTGCGGGCCCCGCGGCTGGAGCAGCTGCGTAATTCCCCGTGGGAGGGCAGAGATCTGCTCCCCTACAGGTACCTTGTTTTTTTCCCCTCCTCTCTGAACAGAGAGGGTATCATGTCTCTGCGCGCAACCCCGCAGAGCAGTTTGTACGAGCTGCCAGCTGAGCCGGTCTGTGAGCCTCCCCCCAGCGCTGGCTGTGGTGAGCTGGATCTCTTTGCCGGTGCTCGGCGTAGTGCAGTTGAGCTGATGGTCCTGCCTGACCGTAGCAGCTCTGGGAAATCCTGGCACCGTCCCGTTACCCTTTTGCACAGCAATTCAGTGTTGGACTCCCCTGGCTCCCCTCTGTATCTGTGTCCTGATAGCATGCTGTGAGACGTCCTAGCAGCCAGGTAGGAGCTCACATAGATAATCGTAATACCGGTGAGTTGCTGTGGGCAGGCCCAGCTGGCAGCGAGGCCAGCAGTGTCGTCAAATACTTTTGGTTGGAAGAGACCTCTGGAGGTCTCGGGTCCAACCCTCTGCTCAGAGCAGGGCCGACTTTGAAGGTGGATCATGTGCTGTGACACATTTTCTCTTGAGCTATGTTCTTTGACCAGACTCGATTGCTTTCAAACTGGGCTAAATGGTTTGTTTTTAAAAGATGTCCTTGCTTCACAGTCCTCCTGGGGTGTCTGTGACTCTTCCACCTTGGGTCTGTGTGCTGACCAGGGGGACATTAGCTTTGGCTCGCCTTTATGAACTGCTTACCTGAGCGTGGGATCCTGTGCAGGTTTTTTCTGTTCCTTTATTATGTGTCATCTTAACCCCAGTGCTGGGGGGGGAAAAAAGCCATCTTGCCTTACTTAACTCAATGCTGTGCAATATGCTTCAAGCTCCTGTTTATCCTTGCTGCCTGAGTCAATATTTTGCTTCACCTGAGGGAGAGGATGCTGTGGACAGGCCTTGGCAGACCACGGTCTTCTCTTTCCTTCCCCAGTGTCTCTCCTGGTCAGAGCCACTAGTGATGGCCATGCCAAGAGCCTAGGCCCTAAGAACATCCTCTGAGTCCTGTATCGACACACACCAACTCCTTGTAGGGTGTCTCTGTGAGGCCTGTTCCCGTCCGAGGGATTAAACTGTTGCAGGCAAAGGATTATGGGCTCCTCGGGCAGAACTGGAGGGAGGGGAAAGCGAAGCGCCTGGCGCTGCAACGGAGACAGCACTGTGCGCTCCCTGGCCCGTGCGGTGCTCCGGTTCCCAGCACGCCCGGATGGCCCAGCAGCCTCCGCAGCGCAGCAGCTGGGGCTCCTCACGCGTCCTTCCGGCCCCTCGATGCATGTGAGGTGGGGCCTGAAGAGCCTTCAAAGCAGGGCCTTTGCGAGTGCATTTGCTGTGCCTCTGCCACTGCTTTCCCGGTTGCGTGGGGGGGCTCTGCTCTAGTTCGTCCCTGCTGTTATCTGAGTGATCCTTGGTGAGGGGAAGCAGTGGGAACAGGGTGGCGGAGGAGTATGGCTTAGGCCAGTGATCCTTGTCCTCTGGGCCAGTCTTGGACTCATCTGTGGTGAGAACAAGCCTCTGGGGAGATCCTCAGTCTGGAGAGGTTTTCGGGGGCTGTCAGCCAGTGAGATGGCTGAGAGACAAAATCTTGGAGGCTGTGGAACGATAACTGAAGGGACCGTTGCAGGCTTGGAGCTTGTATCCTTGGCTCAAGGCAAGGCAGAAGGTAGAAAGGAGGATCTGAACGTGGGAGAAGTAGGGCTGGTGATGGAAGGGTGCCCGCTTCAGGGGCACAGTGCCTGCCAAGTAACTTGATCAAATGGAAAAGAGGAGAAGGACTTGTGCTTGACTTGACCAGTCTGACACATATCATGCAGGATAAAAATAAGCCAGAAGCCAAAAATGAAGTCACCTGAAAAGCCAAGTTCTGCTGCCTGTGCTGGAGCTGTCCTGCGAAAGAAAGATCGTCCCCGGGGCTGTCAGTCTGACACCTCTCACCCGCACAAAATTAACGAGCCAAGAAAAGCCCTGTTAGAGCTGGCAGATCTCTTCTGCCTTGTTCCTCCCCAGGCTGCACAGCCACAGCTCTGACCTGTGCGTTTCCAACCCTGCTTTATCCTAAAAGGAAGCGAGAGGGAGAAGCTTAAGCCCCCGGGTGAGGCCCCGAGCAGGAGCGAGCTGAGGCCGACCTGAACGCAGGCTGCTCATGCCAGGTTGCGGTTCACGTTTGTTGTGTTTTCTCCCCCGTGAAATTTTGACTCAAGCCTTTTGTTGTTGGGGGCAGCAGCTGTTACAAGTGGTATTTAGCTGCCTAAAAACAGATGTCAAGGCAGCGGGAAGGAAACTGGAGGGATTAGAAAGGAAGCTGAGGGCCGATGAGGGCGTAGGATGCGTCTCTGACCGTTAGCGCTGCTGGAGCCGACGGGGACGGTTTCTGCTGCAGGGGGTGAGAAGCCTGCGCTTGCTTAGCCGGCTGGCTCGTTGTGACCGTGCTGCGCGGCGCTCCTGGATGCTGGTACGCAAAGAGCAGCCCTTGCATCTTCCACCCTTCGAACGCCTGCGATGGGACGATCTGACGTCCTAGATCCTCAAATGCCGTTTCAGATACTCAAATGCTGTTTCGCAGCCTCGGGACGTGGCATCAAACGTGAGGCCCTGCTTAGCACCTCCGTTGCTGATCTAGCCACGACAAGAAGTTGCCTTCAGCGTAGGTAGCTGAGCAAAGGTGCTCCTGTGGCTTCTGCCCTGCCCGATGGGCTATTTTTCTCCTCTCTATGTGTCTGTGCCTTCTCCTGTTGCCCAAAACTGCCTGGCTTGATAAGCCAGTTGAAACATTCACGGGCCCCTTTGCTGCCTCCCCAATTTGTGTGTAGCTGGATCTGCGCGTGGACGAGTGAAACCAGGCGAAGGCAGCCAAACTAGGTGAGCCTTTTACAGCGCCGTGGTGTCGAGGCCAGGAGCCTGTGTTTCTGAGCTAGCCAGACGTGGATAAAAGGGAAAGGTTGTCTGCGGCATCTAAGTAGGGCAGAGAGACCAACAGGTTTATCAAAACGCTGTAGTTGGTTTCTGTGCCTCTGGGGGGCACTGGAGCCCCCCAAAAGGTGGCAGGGACAGGAACAGGCATCCAGAGCACCCCCTGCCAGACTATTAATAATTTAACCGGCTGCTTAATTCTGCACAGCCCCTTCTGAGCAAAACCCCGAGCCACCAGCCTGGTTACGAGGGGCGCATGAATAATGTGCAACTCTGGCAGCAAGGATGCAGGAAAGAGATTAAACAAAAATATTTGCCATCTCCCTTCTTTCCCTCTTCCTCCCCCTCCCCCCGCCCGCCCCGATAAGAAAACCACCGCTGCCCAAATCTATATAAAAACTCGCTCGTTCTGTCAACGTCAGTGCGCTGTAAATGTAGGGCAGGTAACATCCCAGATCTGCCAGCTCCCATCAGAGCCTCGCTTTGCTCCTGGGTTCTGGGACACGTGTTCGGGAGCATCTTGCGAAGCGCGTCAGGGCGGTAGCAGCCTTTCCAGGGCTGCTCTGTAAGAGGAGAGCAAAATCAAGCCTGTTTTGCAGGCGCAAAGCGTTGCCGGCGGGATAGGAGGTGAGCTCGGTTCCTTGTTCTGGCCAGGTCTCTCCGAGTCCCTCACCTCTTGCTGCTTTAAAATGACAGTGATGCGATTCCTCTCCTTTAGGAAGGCTGCCACGTAACCCTGCTGAGGACTGTGGGTGCGTAAAGAGTTAGCGAGGGTCTCTCGAGCTGCGCCAAGGCAGACCGAAGGTTTCCTTAACGTTGCTGGAGAGGCCGGCTCCTCAGCCTGGCTTGCAGCTGCCCTGGGAGCGCTCCTCCTCCTTCCCCGGCGGCTGGTACGCGCCTTGCAGCTGTGCATCTCGCTGCAGGCCGCCGAGCTGACTCTTCCCCCATCTGCTCCCAGGAGCCTTCCCCGCCTGAGCTCAGCTCCTAATTTCAAACACCTCCGCTTCACCCGGCACCCCTCCCCTTCCCCCAACTTGGATTTCGTCCTGCATACATTTGCCACATAGCATTTAAAATAGCGCCCAGCAACCCACGTGTGGCACCGCGCAGCCTGGCCTCGGCGTTCAGCTGGTGCTTGCCGACTCCAGTTCTTGCTTCCCCTCTTCTCGCTTCTTTCTCCAAGCCTGGACTCTGCTGGGTGCTTTCCCCGTCCTCTCTCGGGTGCCTCATCCTGGGGGTTCCTCGGGGAACGGGGGGTGGTGATGGCAGGAGGTTCACAGCAGCATCTCTGGAAGCCCCTGCGAGTGTGGAAATGCCCCACGTTACTCTTTTCTCTCTGAGAGGTCCCTGCATCTGTCCCTCGCGTCTCTCCTTTCACGTTTTGTCCCTGACAAATCCTCGCGTCACTCCCTTGCGCGCGGGCCGGGCTTGCTTGTCACCGGACAGGGCACCTGCAGGCTCTCTGTGGCCCTCTGTTAGAGCCTGTGCTGGGCCTGGGAGAACAACCCGCGAGAAAGAGAAGCAGGGCATTTTCTTCTCAGGCGGGGGAAGTCTCCAAGGAAGGACCTTTTGGGACGGGGGGCTGACGTGACTGTGCAGGCGATGGAGACGCGGGGCTCGGGGTCCGTGCTGCGGCTGAGGCATCTCTGGAAGCCTAGAGGGAGATGCGGAAGGGGCTTGCGTGCCCCCGTCCGGAGACGGCCAGGTGGAGGGCTCCAGAGAACTCTTGCAGCACCTTGCTTCTCGGCTGATCTGCGTTTCTAGCTAAAATGGGTCCCGACCTGATGTTAGCAAGCCCTCAGGGTCTAGCACCGAGTGTATCCTGTTCCTGGGGAAGATAGGCAGAGGATAGGATGGCCGCAGCACTGGCAATGTCAGCGAG